AAAGTTCATCAAAAATGTAATTTTAAAAAAATAAACTCGGCGAACAACAGAAGGGGATAAAATATATATTTCATGTTTAGCATTCAAGGAACAGGCAATGATATAAATATACTGGGTGACATTTATCAACGAACTTGGCAGCAGTATTGTCATGAAAGCACACACACACACACACAAAAGAAAGATTTAAACAAAAAAATAATAATTTAAAAATTGAGCAGAAATGGAATGTTTCATAGTTTAATAGGTTTCATATTTTAATTAGTTTCATATTTTAATGGGTTTCATATGTTATCAAAAGACAACTTGATACTTTAAAAATTCATCAATATTTATGAATAAAAATATAAATTCTGCATACATCGGACGGAGATGAATAAATATGTAAGGATTTATATTCAAGGAACAGGCAATGCTATAAATATATTGTTTCACATCCATCCAATTATGACGTCAATAGTCCGGTTGGCATCTACCAACTATGACGTCAAAAACTGGTTGTTATGAGAATGTTTATGAAATGGCGTCATCACAACAAAAACATAATTAAATTTTAAAAATTTAAAAATTGAGCATACATATGAATGCGTCATGGCTAAATTTTAATGGGGGTCGTATCTTAATGGGGGTCGTATTTTAACGGGGGTCGTATTTTAATGGGGGTCGTATCTTAATGGGGGTCGTATCTTAATGGGGGTCGTATTTTAATGGGGGTCGTATTTTAATGGGGGTCGTATCTTAATGGGGGTCGTATGTTAATGGGGGTCGTATGTTAATGGGGGTCGTATTTTCCACAGATAAAACTGGGTCGTATCTTAATGGGGGTCGTATCTTAATGGGGGTCGTATTTTAATGGGGGTCGTATTTTAATGGGGGTCGTATCTTAATGGGGGTCGTATTTTAATGGGGGTCGTATTTTAATGGGGGTCGTATTTTCCACAGATAAAACGTCCTGTATAATGCGAAGGCCGTCTAACCTCATTAGGTCAGAGGTCAAGGTCCCCTTGTGGTGAAATGTTTGACAAACAATGGTTCAGATGTCAAACTATACATTGTAGATTTTAACATCTATGAGAAACATTTGTTTGTTTTCTTTACAAAAATAATTTTAATTCTAACATAATGTTTTAAATAACAGTTTGTGTTCGAAGTGTTCACCGTCGGCTTCAACGGTCAACACAAGCTTCAACTCATCAATCATTATCAAAAGGGCTCCTTTTTTTGTCCGGAAACTGTTTATATGTATAGTTAACACAGCCGACCAAGCCGTAGTGGGCCAACAAGCCTAATTGACCTGGCTATTGATACCGAGATGGAGAAGACCACGGCTGATTTCCAATCATCTCAACAGGCAGACAGCGGCACTCTCTAAGGTGTCACCATGTTGTTGGTAGGTGGAGTTTTCAAATCATTTTTCTATTTATACCTCCAGCATAAACGATGGATGTTGGAAAATAAAAGTTGAGTTTTTTAAAAAGAAAATACATAAATATATCCATGGTACACAAAAATGCTATAAAATTAACATTTCGTACACAGTTTAGTTCAAAGAGTGCTTTTTTTCCCGATGAAAATGGGGTGGATTCTCCCTTTTACAATTGTGTACAAATACTTAAATTGCGAATCGGAAGCAAATAAAAAAACTTCAAAAGACTTTAAGACCTAATTTTCTTTTACGACAATTCGTTTTAAACAAAAGCACAGTTTGTCACAAAAATAAGTCTTGATTTTCATCTTCATTAAGTTGGTCTTTTGAAAGCATTCCATTTCAGAAACAATAAGTCTTACTCTTGCTCTTTATAAAATTCAAAAAATTTTTTTGTGTCCCAGAAGGAAACTGACTTCTCCTATTGTTTCTGGCTCAATGATCTTCTGGCCCGACCGTTGAATCCAAAATGGGGACATCAGGTACACAAAGTTGCCCGGAAGTAAGTAGTCCGTGAGAGCGATGGGATGACCCAACCGGTTGACGCGGATGTATCTTTCCTCCACGCATTTGAGCAGCCTCAAAGTGGCCACTCGTCCCGTGAGATCCTGATGGAAACAGAACCACCCAAAAATAGGTTAGAAAGCGATTTAAGCCATCCTGAAGTTTGAAAGTGACAGATTTTTCAGGACTTTCACATTTAAATAATTTTCGGATTCTGATTTTTAAAAAAAAAATATATATAATCTTTTGAATGTGGCAATTTTAACATATACGCATATACAAAAATGAACAACAACCTAAAAAAAAAAAAAAAAAAAAAAAAAAAAAAAATTAAAAAAA